GGGGCTGCATGGTGCAGTACATGTTGCCTCAGTCGCAGCGTGGGGGGAAGCTGGCACCTAAGGCTCGCTGGGGGTTGCACTTGGGGGTGTCCGCAGCGAGCAAGGGCTGGACCGTGCTGGACTTGGAGTCCAACCGCCTCATCACCACTGTGGAAGCTGTGTTCTATGAGACCATGTCCTTGGCAGGATGGAAGGCGTGGCATCGGCAAGAGCATGGGGGGCGTCCAATGCCCTATGAGCCCCTTCCCTCTCACTTCCCGATCACTCTTGAGGAGGCGGTGGAGGAGGAGGAGGTGGTCGCACCTCCTGCTATGCCCTATGTCCCTACCTCGGTCCCCACCCCACCTCCGCCTTCAGTTTACCCTCGTGTGGTTCCCCCTGCCCCACCTTCTTCATCCTCACCCCCCTTGGCTTCCCCTCCTCCTCCTGTTATTCCCTCTCCCCTTCCACCCTCCATCCCTCCTGCACCTGCTCCACCCTCCTCTTCATCTTCCACGGCGCCGCCCGTTGGTGAGGGGGGGATCGTGGTGCCACCGTCTGTGGAGATCACCGACGGGCAGCGCCTTGAGACTGAGCAGCTGCAGGACGAGAGCAGCATGGATGGAGTACAGCAGAGTGGGGGGCAGGAGATAGGGGAGCAGCAGTTAGGGGAGCAGCAGATAGGGGAGGAGCAGATTGAGGAGCAGCAGATGGTGGACCAGCAGCTAGGGGAGCAGCAGACAGGGGAGCCGCAGACAGGGGAGCAGGAGCTGTGGGGAATCAGAGATGGTGGTCGTGTGTTGGCTTCTGGGACGATCACTGCGCCACTGCGTCGCTCCACTCGCATCACCCGTGGTATCCCGCCTCTTAAGTATGCTTGGGCTTTAGTGATTGAGCCAGCGGGATTGGATGACGAGGAGGAGGACGAGGAGTGGACGGACCTGGATCCTGACGTGGTGGCCGACCCTGAGAGGCAGTGGGATATAGCGAAGATGACAGTGAAGGAGGCCTTGGGCTGCTGGAAGGGCGACAAGGTGAAGGAGGCAATGGATGAGGAGATGCGGAGCTTGATTGAGCAGGGGACGTGGGAGTTGGTTCCGCGTCCGCCAGGGGTGAATGTAATGAAGAACCGCTGGATCCTGAACACCAAGTTCCGACCGGATGGGGTAGTGGAGCGTGAGAAGGCGCGGCTGGTGGTGAAGGGGTTCACGCAGGTGGCAGGGGTGGACTATGAGGAGACGTACGCTCCTGTGGGAAGCTATGTGACGGCGCGCGTACTTCTGGCGATCGCAGCTGCACTTGACTTGGAGCTGATGCAGCTAGATGTGAAGAATGCGTTCCTCCATGGCGTGCTGGACCGAGACCTGTACATGGAGCAGCCGAGCTACTACGAGGATGGGACTCCTCGTGTCTGTAAGTTGTTGAAGAGTCTGTATGGTCTCAAGCAAAGCCCGATGCTGTGGTATGAGGCCTTGGATGGGGTGCTGCTTGGGGCTGGATGGAAGAAGAGCAAAGTGGATGAGGCTTTGTACTTCAAGAGTGATGCTGACGGGGAGATGTGCTGGCTGCTGGTGTATGTGGATGATTTGCTTGCTGCCAGCCGCAGTCAGAGCATGCTGGGGGAGCTACGTGAGCTGCTGCAGAGTGCGTTTCAGCTGCGGGAGATTAGCCCTGTGGAGAAGTACCTGGGGCTGCAGCTGATTCGGGACAGGCCTACGAGGAGGCTGTGGCTGCACCAGGGGGCCTACGTGGACAAGGTCCATAGGCGCTTCTTCGACGGGGAGCAGCCGCTGCGAGTGCCTCGCACCCCCCTTTCCTCTGACCCTTTCAGTGTGCAGACCTTTGAGGATGCGGGATGGCAGTCTCGCCAGGAGGAGGAGTACAGGCAGAAGGTGGGATCCTTGCAGTTCGCAGCCTGTACCACTCGTCCCGACATCTCCTTTGCCTGCAGCAAGCTGGGGTCAGGCCAGACTGTGCGGAGTGACCAGCACTGGAAGGAGTTGGACCGGTGCTTGGCGTACTTGGTGGGGAGCAGGGATGTTGCGCTGGAGTTTGGTGGTGGGCCTGAGTCCTTGGAGCTGGTGGGCTATGCCGATGCGGATGATGCGGGAGACAAGCAGAACAGGACTAGCACTGGTGGCTATGTCTTCGTGCTCGGAGGTGCTGCTGTCTCGTGGGCGAGCCAGAGGATTCGTTGCGCCACCCTCTCTTCCACTGAGTCTGAGTACGTTGCTGCTGTGGAGGCGGGGAAGGAGGCGCGTAGGCTGCGCTTCCTGCTGGCAGAGTTTCAACTGCTGAGGAGTGAGGTTCCCACTACTCTCTTTGTGGACAACTCCTCCGCCATTTCAGTGGCAGGTGGCATGGGGCTCAAGGGGAGCCTCAAGCACATGGAGCGTCGTCACATGTGGCTGCAGCACATGGTCAAGCGCAGGAAGCTGCAGCTGCAGTACATCCCTACGAGCGAGCAGCCTGCTGACTACCTTACCAAGGCATTGCATTTCCCCGCCTTCAGTCGTTGCTTCGAGGCTGTGGGGCAGGTGAGGCTCTCGAGCGAGGGGAGTGAGACCTAGACACTCCGTGATGTGGATGGTGCCATGGCCTATCCATGGCTGGTGCGGTGCGTGTTTGCACTTTGAGAGTGCTTCGTTTGTGTGTGTTTCCCTTTGTTTGGTGTGTATGTGTTTATGCATGCCCTGTGATTATAAAGGGCCTTGCTGTAGTATGGCAGGGGAGTGTTAGAGGGCCCTACGACAGCAAGGGCCCTCGCGAAATGTTAGACTTGGCAGGTTGACGACCGACGACCTGGTCTACTCGGCACCGTCGCACAGGTTCGATGGCAGTCAAGTGTGACTACGGGTGAATGCGAGCTGCAGTAAGGAATCTGCTGAAGTCGGTGCTGGGAAGTAGAGTCGTGGGAGTCTTTGTGTGCTTCCTTATGAGGCACGCCACTCCCAAGCTGAGTCGGATGGAGTTGCGTGCTCGGAAGGTTTTCGCTGCTGAGTTGGATGGAAGTTTGGCGGGGCGCGTTCGCCAACTCCCACAGCACTTTCGTGTGGGTTGGGTTACTCGCAGCGCCCTCGCTACCTTTTGTGAACGCTTGCTTGCCTTTATATGTTTGTGTTTGCTTGTGTGTTTCATATATTCTAGTTTCCTAGTGAAGCTCAATCTCTACTCAAATTCTCACTTAGTCTTTTGAGACCAACGCTACCGAATTCCTAGCGCAACATCATTCCCATAAGCAGAATCTCTCTCGCCGTCGTAGTGCTCTCCATAGTATTCCTTCACCATGCACGTTGTTAAAGGGCTGGGGAGGGGGGAGAGGGACGGGGGGGAAGGGAAGACAGAGAAGAAATGCTCGTTGTGCAATCTACTACCTTCACCCTTGCTGCCAGGCTCTCGCCCCCACGCTGCCCAGGGACACGGTAATTAGGGCTGATACCCCCCCGTGCACGTTGTTAAACGGCTGGGGAGGGGGGAGGGGAGGACAGAGACGAACTGTGTGCCGCCAAACTGTGGCAATCTGCCACCGCCCCCCCTGCTGCTAGGCTCGCCCCCACGCTGCCCAGGAACTCGGTAATCAGGGTTGATACTCCCCCGTGCACGTTTCTAAAGGGCTGGGGGAAAGGACGAGAGAGAGGGGAAGACAGACGAAGAGTGTGTCTGGCAATGTGCCACTGTCCCCCCCTGCTACCAGGCTCGCTCCCACGCTGCTCAGGGACTCCGTGATTAGGGCTGAGCAGCGCGGGGCTCAGGGCTCAGGGCTGATCATACCCCTCCATGCACGTTTTTTGAGGCGCCCCGAAAGGCTGATACCCTCCATGTACGTTGTTAAGAGGCTGCGGAGGGGAAGGGGGCGAGGGACAGGGAAGAGAGGAGTGTGATAGTGAGAGAATGCGCGTTTGGCATTCTGCCAGTGCGCCCTCTGGTGCTAGACTGGATGTCTGATAGTTCCTGCTGTGACTGCTACCAGTCCTGCTGCTGCTTCCCCTGCTTCCAGACTTGCGCCCACACTACCTGAGACTCGGTGATTAGGGTTGATCCTCGCCCCCTAGCCTCCCTGTTTGTTAAAAAATGAGGGGGAATGATGGGGGACAATAGGGGAAGATAGCGAGTGAGAGGAAATGAAACCAAAAGTAAGGAAACGAAACTAGACGTGTGATATGAATACATGGCTCAAGCATGTGCTGGGGGCTGGGGTAGCAGCAGCAGCAGCAGCAGCCCAGACTCACTTTCAGGCCCAAGCTCACATGCGACGTGTAGCCCAAACCCACTTCCACGCTGCAGGCTCTTTTTTGAGGTGCCTCAAAAATCGCTGCAGGCTCCAGCCTGGAAGTGAGTCTGAGCTTCAGGCTCTCATAATAAAAACATTTGTTTGCAGGAATGGGAATCGGTTGAACTCATGCAATCCCTGAGCATGAATGATTACACAGGCACATACGTGCAAGGGAATGCGCACGGACTTCCATGGGTATGCACGGACTCGCACGGGCATGTACGGGCCAGTGCTGCTGGCCCATAGGTGCATGGGCCAGCCGGCCAGAGGAAGTACCTGAGCGGTTGCGGCGGACGAGACGAACACAGCGACGACACGGTGAGGGCAGGCAGAGAGGAAGCGAAGGCCGATGAACTTGTGGATGGGCAGGTCGTCAAACCGAGGAGAGTCGAAGCGAGGGGAGTCGAAGCGAGGGGATTTGGACCAGGGACAAGCATGTGAGCCCTCATGCTCATCCTTCGCCTCTCTCGTTTGCTGCGTCACCTCCTCCTCTCCACCCCCCTTCTCTCGGTTCCCCAACGCTCCACTTTCCTCTCTCCTCCCTGCTTCTCCTGCACTCCTGTTTCCCCCCTTCTCCCCGCCATTCCCATTCTCCTCCCCGCCATTCCCATGCTCCCCATGCGCCCCGCCTCCACGGCTCTGGGGCAAGGGAACACACGTCAGTCGCCCCACTGCCAACAGCCGACCACCCTTCAAGCCCTCAGGTGTGCACTCAGGTGTGGATTCAGGTGTGCATTCAGGTGTGCAGTCAGGTGGCAGCGGCTGCTGCAGCGGCTCTAGGCACGGCGCTGCCTTGCTGTCTGGTGACTGTGACTGCGATATGGGGAACAAGTGATGAGACCGTGTTGATGGTGCTGCTGCCTTGTTAAAAGCGGCTGGCTTGCCTTGTTGTGCCGGCACGCAGTCGCTTGAAGCTGACAGGCGGACCTCCCACACCTGGATTTGTGAATGGTTTGAGAAAGGTTGAGTGGTGTGACAATGGTTTATAAATGGTTTGTGAATGGTTTGCGCCTAAATCTGCCTGCAATGCGTCATCACACGCACGCGCACGTGCGCACATGCACACACACCCACCCACTCACATCACACGCGCGCGCGCACACACACACACACACACACCCACTCATACGCGCGCGCACACACACACACACACCCGCCCACACACACACTCACACTCACATCCCCCCCCACACACACACTCCCACACCTACACGCACCTGAACGGTGCGGCCAACTCTCAAGGGAGTGCCAACAGCAATGAGAGGAGTGCCGATGGGTGCGGCTCTAAGGTGACAACATGCCACCTCCACCCCCACCACCTAAATGATTGAAGGCATGCGCATACCCACACACAAGCACTTGCTGTTTTGGATTTTAACGCACACACAGACACATGTACACACACCCAAACACCGCCAGAACCCCCCACCCCACTCGCCCCCCTCCTCCGCCCCCTCCCACAATCACGCACCTGAACGGTGCGGCCGACTCTCAAGGGAGTGCCAACAGCAATGAGAGGAGTGCCGATGGGTGCGGCTCTAAGGTGACTGCACGCCACCTCCACCCCCACCACCGGCGCACCAGCAGCCACGGCAGCACCCAGACTGCCCACTGCCTCCGTTACCAATGCTGACACCCCCCCGTGCAGATTGCCAAACGGCTGGAAGCGGTGGGGAGGAGTGAGGAGGGGCAGGAAGGAGTTCAAAGGAGAAGAAAGGGGAGGATTAGAGCATGGAGCCTCCACACACCCCACCACCGGCGCACCAGCAGCCACGGCAGCGCCTAGACTCCCCACTGCCTCCGTTACCAGCGCTGACACCCCCCTGTGCAGATTGCCAAACGGCTGGAAGCGGTGGGGAGGAGTGAGGAGGAGTGCACGGAAGGTGAGGGAGGGAGACGGATAAGAACATGGAGCCTCCAGCAAAAAGGGTGTTTTGAGTCGACTCAAAATACACATGGAGCGTCCAGCAAAAGGGGTGGAGCGAGACAAAAGGGCTCCAGCAGTCACCATGACCAGGGAACCCTAAAACGAGTCGGAGCGGGTTGAGAAGGGGTGGAAAGAGTTACAAAGGAGGTGGTAAGGAGATGAAAAGAGGTGACCACTACCCCTGAGCGGCGGAGGGCGAGGAGGGGAGGGTAGCGACGACGATGCGATGGGGGGAGGCGGAGAGGAAGGAGAGGCAAGTATGGCAGCTGTGCGCCACTCAGGCGGGCACCAGCAATAACCATCGGCAAGGAGTAGGAAAGGAGGTGGGGAGGAGGTGGGAAGGAGGGACCAAGCGGGGGGGAAGAGGGGGGAAAAGGAGTGGTAACGGCGAAGGAGATGAGAAGAAGAGTTCTTTTCTACCTGAGCAGATTGGGGCGAGGAGGTGACGGTAGCGACGACACGATGCGGGGAGGCGGAGAGGAAGCGCAGGCCGAGGAACGAGTGCACGGGGAGAGCGCTGAACCCCGCCAGTTCCGCTGCCGTCAGCGATCGCCGCGGCTCAGTTGTCTTCGACGACATTCGGGTCGGTTCACTTGGCGTTTGTCTCGGTTAAGATGGCATTTGGGTCGGTTCAGAAGCTCAGCTTGGCTCCGAAGGTACCTTCGAGCCCGCGAGCGGCGGCACTGTCAGCGGTGGTACTGTTTGCAATACTCGGGGGTTCAGCTGGCTTCGAACCCGCGACCTTCGCTGCTGTTGATGGTTCTTCGCGGTGCGTCGGGTCACTGTGAGTCGCTGGGATGGGTACGTCGAGGGTGACACTCCCTAACACTATGCGGTTGGTGTATACGCGGTATAGAGTCAAACCGATTGATTAATAGCGAGGCCTGGTTCTCTGGAAACTTGAAGCTTTTTGCACCAAGTAGTAGATAAAGTTGATTGAGAGGGGAAGTCTTACTAGGGATAAATAGGCGGTGTGAAACTGCAGCGCGAGTCGCACCTTCAGGCAATGGATTGCGATTTGGGATGATATACCTCAGCGGACGAAAAATGCCGCCCAATTTCGCGGTTCAAAAGGGACAAGGCCCCCCCTCGGGATTGACGACCTCCCGACGACCTCCGAGCTCCCAGACGGGCCCAAATGGCGTCCCAGGGGCCTCGGGAGCCCTCGGGATTGTCGACAATCCGACGACACCCGTTTGCGCTGGGAGATTCCTGAGAAGGAAATCTCAGCGGACAAAATTCGCCACGTCGAGCCGCGGATGCCTCCACGCGGACCAATAGGGAGGTGCGAGACCCGCCCCACCGATTACAAGGCTGCCACGACGTGGGCGTCGTGGCCACGCGTCGCTCTAGCGGTGCAAACCCACGCGGCGCAAATCGGACCGTCCACATCTTCACTGTCTTGTGGCATCGCGGGTTGCCAGGGAAGTCGGTGTCGACCAGATCCATGTCTGCTTGCCTTAATTTCTTCACTGGGGCGCCAATGGCGGTCGCAAGCCGCGTAACGCACGCCCATTCCGACGTGGAATGGCACTGGCTTACGCCCCTTCCGTGCAGCGCGGCGCCCAACTAGCCATGCCTGGCACGTGCCACGTCGGACAGTGCGCCGCCTTTACGAGAACACATGCACGGCGGCGGATGCATTGGGGTGTGCGTGACGCGCGGCAGCATCGTAGTCGCTCAGGACCATACCCGTCCGTTGCCCCGCGAGCCTGCTCATTCGCTTGTCCGTTCCTGCGTTCCTTCCTGCTCTCTCGTTCCCTTGGAATTTTCAGCTGCCAGTCTGTCATCGCGCCTGTAGGTTGCTCGACAGCCGATTGTTCGTCCAAGTCGGCACAGGTTCCACGTCGCGAGTCGACGTAGCAAGTCGGCGACGCATGGCCAGAGGTCGCCCGAGGGCCCAACAGCCGCAACCCATCCCACCCCCCGCCGACTCGGTAGACGCCGACATCAAGGCGCAGCTGGAACAGCTTGAACTCGAAGCCGAGCTAGACGCGCTTGAGCGAGAATTCGAAGAAGACGAAGACCGCCTGACGCTTCGCGCGTTCGCCGCACCCGTCACACAGTACCGTCTCTGGTTTACCACCCCCCGCGATCTCGAGGTCGACGCCGAGATAGACGTTATTGAGGGACATCTCGAGGACGACCGCCGCGCAACTGTTCGGGCGTACACCGCACCCGTGACTCAGTACCGGCAGTGGTTTAACAACCTCCCCAACGCACACGGACGACGGTAGAGCAGCAGACGTGTACCGACATGGCCGACGTCGACATGTCCGACGCTAGGCCATCCACCGACCAGGGTCCGACGACCACCGACCGCAGTCCGACATCCACCGACCACAGTCCGACACCTACCGACGAAGACAACCTGCAGTTACTCTACGATCTGGACAAGCTGACGCAGATCCCAGAAGGGGTGTTCACCACGGACGTTCCGCCACCGCCGATAGGGAAGTTCAACAAGAAGAAAAAACAGACTCCTACGCAAAATGGTCGGCCAGGTACCTCGTCGGCACCGGCCGCCCCTGGAAACCAGGTCGATGACGAGGACGCGGAGGAGGAGGGGGGGGAGGAGGAGGAGGAGGAGGAGGAGGAGGAGGAGGAGGAGGAGGAGGAGGAGGAGGAGGAGGAGGAGGAGGAGGAGGAGGAGGAGGAAAGCGATGACGAAAACGACGACCGTCCACCTCGTAGCTCTAATCCGCGCACCTTGGACGAACGACTCAGGCGGGAACTGCAATTCATCGACATACTGCTCGACCAGGACGAGGACGAGGACCAGGAGAACTTGGCGGTGCCGCGCGAACAGTGGAGAGCGGCAGACTTCGTCGAGGAGGACATGGTTTACGCGTGCGTAGACGTGCTCGTCATGGACGCTCTTCGCCACCTGCAAACCGTGGAGAGGAACAGCACGCTGAGGCAGTACACCTCGTGGATCTATCACTACAAGAGGTGGGCGGCGAAGATGTTGAAGCAAATTCGCAACAAGCTTCCGCAGGAGTACAGGCTTAAGCACGTCGACGAGATAGGGCACTACATCCGGGAGAACAAGAAGAAAAACTGGGACCAAGAGGCCGATGTCCCCCGGTCTCACGTGTGGCTGCACGGCCCTAGGGTCACCAAGGACCGGCTTCGCGCATACGTGAAGTACATGATTCGGGAGTTGAACCTCGATGCCGAGTCCGGCAAGGGGGCCGACAACGCCACAGGAACACAGCCGGTGCAGTCGACAACGGTACACACGCTCCTCGGGCGCATAAAGGCATGCCAGATGGCGGCGAGAGTGGAGGCGACGCTCTTCCGGGAGACGGAACTGAGCATCATGAGGGAGATATCGGTGGTCAGGTCGGAGGTGCGGTACATGATCCGCACCAAGAACGAGCGGGACATCAAGTGAGTTTATGTTTTAACCTACGTCGACCACTCTCCTGCTGTCATGATCTTTGTCGACGCCGCCCTAAATACCCCTTGCCCATGGCATTGTTGGCAGGAACTGCGCCGATCGCCGTCGCGGAACCATCGGCGATACCTACACCGCCGAACAGTTCCGCCAGATCATGTTCAGGGTGCTGCCGGCGTGGGCGGCCAAGGCGTGGAACCCGCGGGGTACGGGTCCTTCGCAGACGCTGTGGAGGTTTCTTCTCTTGAAGGTGCTCACGCTACTCTCCCACCACTCTCTCCTGCGCGGTGCAAGCATCCGCGAGATCACTCTCCCCGACATCTTCTTGTACCGACTGGCGAGCACCTCCTCGATCAACCCGGAGAACCAGCCGGTCGTCATGGTCATCGGAGCGCGGAACTCGAAGACGTCCAAGGATGCTCGTCTGCAGCAGAGCTACGCCGCGCGGCACCTCGAAGCGGAGTTGTGCGCCGTCGGCGAGACGGGCCTGTGGTTGCACTTCGTCCTCGATCAGATCGGTCAGTTTCACGGCGTCCGCCTCATTCCGCCGGTCGACACCAGCACACGCGCTAGCTGGTACAAGAAACACCTGTTCTTCGCCAAAAACGACACCGACCAGGGTGAGCTCTCTGCGGCAACCCACCAACGCTGGACGCGGCAGTTGTGGGACACCAACAAGGTGTTCTGCAAGAGGAACGTGCACGCCGCTCGAGCGGGCGGGGCCCAGGAGCTGGCTATCGACGGCACGCCGCGCGCCGAGATCGCGGAGCTTGGACACTGGGCTCTCGACAAGATGACGCGAGCGTACATCACCGCCATTCCGGTGGGGGTGGTGATGAAGAAGGCCGGGTACTCGGGGTACAAGCAGGACTACTTCTTGGGTCGGAGCAGGGTGCCGCCCTCCGAGAAGCTCCTGAAGCTCCTCGCCGAGCACATATTCCCCGGCGTCGACGACATGCTGAAGGAGGTATGTTAGTCGACGCCCTCGTAGCTTGCCGCCGAGTCGTGTTGCCGACCTTTTCTGAGCTCCCCGTACCCGTGACAAATGGCAGGCGGAAGGGAAGGCTGTCGAGGGGTCAGACGCCGACAAAGCCGCGGTGCACTTCTGGCGCACTCTCCTGATGCTGCGCCGCATCGTCGCCGAGGACCTAGCGGTGAAGCTAGTCCGCACACCATGGCACCCGTACGTCCAAGGTTCCAAGCTCTGCCGGATCCCCCTCTTCCAGCACTGGGCGAAACGGGTGGAGAGCGTCGACACCGAGACGATCAACAAGCGTCGGGACCCGACCCAAATACAGCCAGAGGTAAGTCGACGATACTGTCGCCGACGTGCAGTAGGGAGTGTAAACCAAACCACCGCGGCCCTCACGTTTTTCTCCTCCTACTGCTGCAGGAAATCTCGGTGCGCATGGACACCGAGTACTACAACATGTCCCTCATGGCCCAGATGCAGAAGGAGAAAGAGCGCGCCGCGAACGAGAAGATTGATCTCCTAGAGGAGATCGAGAAGCGCGACGACGCCATCGCTGGGCTCACCGCCGAGCTAGCCCGTGTCACCGAGGCACTCCGCTTGTCGGAAGCACGGAGAGTGCCGGTGGCCCCGCCGTCGGCTCCCGCGCAGACTCCCAGC